GAAAAACGTTGCTTGCATGTCTGTATTGTCATTAGAAAGGGAGCAAGGCATGAATGCAACAGTGAAATTTTAACAGCGCTATCATATAACACAAAATGATTATACAAACATTAATGGATCATAAAAAATTGCTTTTACTAATTTGCAAGAAAAACCTGAAATAATTTGAACATGCTTTCTTCTCTCCCCTGCCTCCAGAATTGACATGTATGTGGAAGGAACAGCTGATCTCATGGGAATGATCATTACCTTTGCTTTCACTCCACCTAAGGAGAGGAATCTTGCCTTAATCATCGAGAGGGCCACAACCAGATATTTCCCAGTCTATGAAAAGGTAAGTGATAGTGAGGCAACAATTTACAGTCATTTCATTACATATCATTGAATGAAGACATACAGTGGAGGCACTAGAACAAATGCTTCTGATTGCAATGAACAATATTCTGTTGCCAAACTGAACAAAAGGAATTGAATGATCACCCCCCCCCCCCCATTTTTAGATAGATGTCTGAAAAAGGAGTAGATCTGTCATTATAAGTGCTCGGTGTTCAAAAATGTAATTACCGGTACTTTATGGTCACTATTACCTAGTGGTTCAGCTGTATTCACCTCTTGAACCAGATCCTGTGTGCCACTTAGGACTAAATCAGGAATTGCCTTTCCCCTTGTGAGTCGCAGGAGTAGCTGCCTCAAGAAGCAGTCATTAATGGTATCTAGAAATTTTATCTCTGCATCCCGTCTTGGGGTGACATGTATCCAGTCAATATGGGGATAGTTGAAATCCCCCCTTATTGTTGAGTTTCTGTTTTTGTAGCCTCTCTAGTAGTAGTATATTCCTACTGCTATAGTCCTGTTATTCAAGCATGGAATTCCTACCCATAGAGATTCTATGGTACAGTGTGAGTCATTTAAGATTTTTACTTTATACTTTCTTTCACATATGGTGCCACTCCCCCACCAGCATGACCTATTCTGTCATTCCCTGGTATTACCAAATCCCATTGATTATCATCATTCCACAAAGTTTCTGTGATGCCTATTATATCAATATCCTCATTTAATACCAGGCACCCATCTTAATATTTAGATTTCAATATTTGCACATGAGCACTTATAAAATTTGTCAATATTTAGTTGTCTGTCTTCATGCAATGTATTTGAATGGGACTCTTTTTCATTTGACTGTTTCTCTTCAGTTCCTACCTGTACTTTATCAGTTTCTGTCCTCTCCTCTTTACTATCTATATTTATGATAATCAAGTCCACATTACTAATACCTGTTTCTTCCTAATAACTGGGGTCCCCTCCCCCAGAGGGGTATCCATGACATCATCTGGAAGAAAGATCCCAACTATGGGATCATTTCCCTCGCTGCAGCTTGATGTTCTCCTTCCCCGAGACTTTCATCCTCCTCAAAAGCACAGAGGCTGTTGGACTAGGGGTGGAACCATTCTACTGTGACCTGGAAAGACTCGTCTATGTACATCTTGTACTTAGGTACAAGAATTCAGACTTTTTCTATTGCAGCTATTAATACTAGTGTTGTATTCAGAGAGTGGGATTTGCCAAAGCACTTCAGTGATTGAGGAGCACAGGTGCTAATGAATCACGTAAGTGCTTTTGAAAATCCCACCCAGATGCTTCATACAAGATTGTTACACAGACCATGACCTTGCTATACTTTGAAAGTATCACACTGAGCTCAGTTGCCAGTATTTATCCAGTGTATATGTCTCTTTCATACCCATAACATTTGTGTTCCCTTGTATTCTGTAGGTTCTGAAACAACACGGGCAAGAGTTTCTTGTTGGCAACCGATTCAGCTGGGCAGATGTACAGCTGCTTGAAACCATTTTAATGGTAGAGGAGAAAGAGCCCACTGTGCTTTCCAAGTTCCCTGTGTTACAGGTAATTCTGTTACTAAAGCACAACCAGCAACTATGGAATTGTGCAGAACAAAGACTTCAAGTTGCTCATTTAACATGAGTTCCTGGGCTGATTCTGATCTCATTAAAACTGTGTAAATCAACAGTAAGCTCTTTGGAGCATGAGCAGTAATTTTCTGTATGTTTGTACAGCACCAAGCACAATGGGGTGTTGATCTGCTTGGCCTCTAAGTGCTACCATTATGTAAATGTTAAGTAATAATAACAATAGAAGTCTGTGGAATTAAGGCGATTTAAGCTCTGCTAATGAGCTCTGTTTCTTCAAAACTAATGTGTGAAGTTTTTATTTATGAAGTAGTTGGATGTTGTTTCCTTACTCTTAGGGCTTCTGTTGTTTCTCATTTCAGGCTTTTAAAGCAAGAATAAGCAACATACCTACAATTAAGAAATTCCTACAGCCTGGCAGCCAGAGGAAGCCCCCACCTGATGACCAATATGTGGCGACAGTGATTGAAGTTTTCAAAAAAGATTAAATTCCTGGTTCCATTCAGAGAGGTCATCAAAATCTAAAAAGAACAGGCCAGTTTAGATGACCAGCACTATATCAGGGGTCGGCAACGTTCGGCACACAACTCGCCAGGGTAAGCACCCTAGCTGGCCGGGCCAGTTTATTTACCTGCTGATGTGGCAGGTTCGGCCGATCGCGGCCCCCATTGGCCGCGGTTCACTGTCCCGGGCCAATGGGGGTGGCGGGAAGCCGCAGCCAGCACATCCATCGGCCCGCGCCACTTCCCACCGCCCCCATTGGCCTGGGACGGCGAACCATGGCCAGTGGGGGCTGCGAT